ACGGCCCAAGAGGCCTCCAAGAGGTCCTCCAGGAGAGTCCGAAGAGGCCAAAATCATTGATTTTCCATTGGTTTTTGATGGATTTTGGCATTTGCGCCTTTTCGGCTCTCCGACGGCTCAAGACGGCCCAAGAAGCCCCCAAAATCGCCCAAGAGGCCCCCAAGAGAGCCCCATGATGGCCCAAGTGGCCTCCAAGATGGCCCCTAGAGGGCCCCAAGAGGGCCCAAGAGGCCTCCAACACGCCCAAGATGGCCTCCCAGACGCCCAAGATGGCCTCCAAGACGGCCCTGGAGCATTCCAAGCGGGCCCCAAGTCGGCCCATAGAGGCCCCCCCAACGGCTTCCGACGGCTTCAGACGTGCCAGGAACCCACCAAGATGGCCGAAGTTGGCTCGAAGCTGGCCCGAGACGGCCCAAAAAGCCCAAAAGATCGCCCAAAGCTTGCCCAAGAGGCCTCCAAGACGGCCAAGATGACCTTCAAGATGCCCACGTGTTCCCCGAAGGCTTTCCAAACCGATTCGGGGAACACGTGGTCCGATAGCTTGGCAGGTCTGGCCTCAACGTTCGGCCACATAGGCGCTTCAAAAAAGGCAGGGGGCGGCGGTGATTCGCCGTAGGCGTCTTCGATCCGCCGCCCCCTGCTTGCAGGGGTGCACGGCGTGCTGGACGATTCAGGTTTTGGTTTTGGTTCTTTTTCTAAAAGAACTCCCCAGTGGGCTTCGGCCCGTCCCGCCGGCCACCCGGAAAGGATGCCCAGGAGCTCAATTCCCCAAGTTCCTGCCCCAGACGGTTCCAAGATGGCCTCCAAGATGCCTCTAAGACGGCCAGGATGGTCTCTAAGACGGCTAAGATGGCCTTATGATGCCTCCAAGACGGTCCAAGACGGCCTCCAACACGGCCCAAGAGAGTCCAAGACGGCCCAAGACGGCCCAAGAGGCCCCCCAGAGGCCTCCCAGACGGCCCAAGAGGCCTCCAAGAGGTCCTCCAGGAGAGTCCGAAGAGGGCCAAATCAGTGATTTTCGCCGCTGACGCTTGTTTTCCTGACTTTTTGTACCTAGTCATTGGTTTTTTTGAAGGTTTTTGGCATCTTGAGCCCCTTCCTTTTTTTTCGGCTCTCCGACGGCTCAAGACGGCCCAAGAAGCCCCCAAGATCGCCCAAGAGGCCCCCAAGAGAGCCCCCTGATGGCCCAAGTGGCCTCCAAGATGGCCCCTAGAGGGCCCCAAGACGGCCCAAGAGGCCGCCAACACGCCCAAGATGGCCTCCAAGACGCCCAAGATGGCCTCCAAGACGGCCCTGGAGCGCCCCAAGAGGGTCCCCCGTTGGCCCAGACAGGCCCCCAAAACGGCTCCCGACGGCGTCAGACGTGCCAGGGACCCACCAAGATGGCCGAAGTTGGCTCGAAGCTGGCCCGGAAGACGGCTCTCAAAAGCTCCCAAAGATCGCCGCCAGCGGCCAAAGCATTGCCCAAGAGGGTGCCTCCGAGACGGCCTAGTTGACCTTCAAGATGCGACCTTCAAGATGCCCACGTGTTCCCCGAAGGCTTTCCCAACCGATTCGGGGAACACATGGTCCGATAGCTTGGCAGGTCTGGCCTCAACGTTCGGCCACATAGGCGCTTCCAAAAAGGCAGGGGGCGGCGGTGATTCGCCGTAGGCGTCTTCGATCCGCCGCCCCCTGTCGATTCATCGCAGGGGTGCCTGGCGTGCTAGATTATTACGGTTTTGGTTTTGGTTCCTTTTCAAAAAGAACTCCCCCTGGCTCCGGCCACGAATCCCCGCCGGGCCACACGGAAAGGCACCCAAACGTGCTAACGACCGGGGAAAATAAATCCCTCCTAAAAAACGGCCGTTTCGCTCGGGAAATCCTCAAAAAATCGCGAAGATGGCCCAAGATGGCCTCCAAGTCCGCCCGAGATGGTCCAAGACGGCCTCCAAAACGGCCCAAGAGAGTCCAAGACGGCCCAAGACGGCCCAAGAGGCCCCCCAGAGGCCTCCCAGACGGCCCAAGAGGCCTCCAAGAGGTCCTCCAGGAGAGTCCGAAGAGGCCAAGATCATTGATTTGTCCTTGGTTTTTTGAAGGATTTTGGCATGCGCCCTTTCGGCTCTCCGACGGCTCAAGACGGCCCAAGAAGCCCCCAAGATCGCCCAAGAGGCCCCCAAGAGAGCCCCATGATGGCCCAAGTGGCCTCCAAGATGGCCCCTAGAGGGCCCCAAGAGGGCCCAAGAGGCCTCCACAACACGCCCAAATGGCCTCCCAGAACGCCAATATGGCCTCCAGACGGCCCTGGAGCTTCCAAGCGGGCCCCAAGTCGGCCCATAGAGGCCCCCCAAACGGCTTCCGACGGCTTCAGACGTGCCAGGAACCCACCAAGATGGCCGAAGTTGGCTCGAAGCTGGCCCGAGACGGCCCAAAAAGCCCCAAAGATCGCTCAAAGCTTGCCCAAGAGGCCTCCGAGACGGCCTAGATGACCTTCAAGATGCCCACGTGTTCCCCGAAGGCTTTCCAAACCGATTCGGGCAACACGTGGTCCGATAGCTTGGCAGGTCTGGCCTCAACGTTCGGCCACATAGGCGCTTCCAAAAAGGCAGGGGGCGGCGGTGATTCGCCGTAGGCGTCTTCGATAGCTACCTCGTAAGACAGTAGAGGCCGAAGCCCCCACAACAAGCTCCAAACAAACTGCTTCATCCCCGTGCGTTCTGCCGCAACGCCTCTGGAAAACGACCACGGCCCACCAGCGCCGCCTGGCTCGCGACCGCGCAAGCAAACGCCCGCGATGGCACACTACGGGCCGGCGGAATGAGCGAAGCGATTCAATAAGAAAACGATAATGAAGGGGCACTGGAACACACAAACATAAGAGGATCCGCCATACTTTCCTACATTTTCTGGCTTTGTGTCTTCTCACCCTCTCCCCATATTTTCCAATCTTTTCAGGGGAACCGACGATTGATTGTGCCTGCGTGTGTTGTCCCCCTCCTGAGATCATTTGACCGCACCACCCCGACTCCCGAGGGCCCCTGGACGGCCACGGCGCTCCCCTGGGGCTCTCCGAGGGCTCCACGACTGCCCGGGAAGGCCGTCCGACGCGGACCGGGCAGGCCACCAGGGCCCCCAAGATGGTCCTTCAGGCCTCCATGACGGAGTGAGGTGGCTCAAGAAGGCCTCGAGACGGCCCAGAAGATCTCCAGCGCGGCTCAAGAGTGCTCCAATAGCGCCTCCAGCAAAGCCCCCAGATGACTCGCTGATTTCCCGTAAGTGTTTGAAGCATGTCCGCATGTATCGCCGTTTCGAGCTTTCGTCGGCTCGAGACAGCCCAAGAAGCCTCCAAGATGGCTTCAAGACGGCCCAGGAGGGCACCGACAGGGCCCCAAGACGGCCCAAGAGCCAAGAGGGTGCCAAGATGGCCCAAGAGCCGCCCAAGAGGACCCCAAGTCGGCCCAAGAAGGCGCTCAGACGGCTACAGGAGCCCCAAGGGGAGGAGGAGGAGGAGGAGGAGGAGGAGGAGGAGGAGGAGGAGGAGGAGGAGGAGGAGGAGGAGGAGGAGGAGGAGGAGGAGGAGGAGCAGCAGGAGGAGGAGGAGGAGGAGCAGCAGGAGGAGGAGGACGAGGAGGACGAGGAGGCGAAAAAGGAGGGGATGTAGGGAGGAGCAGAAGGAGGGAGGGGGGAGGAGGGAGGAGGAGAGTGAGGAGGAGGAGGAGGAGGAGAGGAGGAGGAGGAGGAGGAGAGGAGGGGGAGGAGGAGGATGAGGAGGAGGAGGGTGAGGAGGAGGAGAGGGGTGAGGAGAGAGGAGGCGGAGGAGGACGAGGAAGGGGGAGTAGGGGAGGAGGAGAGGAAAAGGAGGAAGAGGAGAGGAGGAGGCGCAAGGACGAGCTTGTTCCCCGCCGAGAGAAACGGGGGGGGGGGGGGGGCACAAAACTAAAGACCTCAAGAGGTTATCCTCTGAAGCTCGCACCTCAGCTCCTCCAAGAGCTCGGGAAGCTGAACTTGCTAGCTTGAGGTCTGGAAACCTGTCTGACCCACACCCACACTTGAGGAGAACGTTTTGACCGACGTGGCGCATGTCCGACAAGACGCCTTCCAAATGCAGACGACAGGCTACTTGTATACAAGAACGGCGCCCACGCACCGTGGCACCTTTGGACTCCCCTGAGGTCCCGCTACAACGCGGTGCTGTGTACAGTCTTTCGGCTCTGAGGGCCGGGGACCTATGCACTGCACCATTCCTGAGCTGAAGATCGACAACGCCTCGGGAGACGTTAACGAGGCACGGTGCACACAGATCGTCCGCAGATGGTGTCAGTCGACGACGAACTTGGAGAGGAAACCCTCGTAATGGATCTTCTCCTCCTTCGCGCCCTTCTTCTCGAGCCGCTCCTCCTTCACCAGCAGCCCGGCCACCGTTCTGTTCCCCTGCACGCTCCGGCTCGCCTGCGAGCTGCCGTTGACGCGCGGTTGGGCAGCGGTGGCGTTCCTGCCAGCGGCAGCGCCGAGCGTGCCGTTGGCGCGGGCTGGCTGCGAGGTGCCGTTGCTGGTGCCGTTGCTGGAGCCGTTGTGCGCGCGCGGTGTGGCCACGGGCGTGAAGCTCCACTTGAGGGGCGCGACGTGCATCTCCTTGCGGACGATCGGCGGCATCTCCGCGGCGAGGGCTGGCTTGGCGGTGGCGTTCTTCGGCTGCGCCGCGCCCCCGGCGGGCCGGGCGGCGCTCGCTGGCACGGCCCAGGCGGCCGTGGCGTTCTGCGCGGGCGCGGCCCCGCGCGCCGCGGCGGCGCTCCGAGTCGGCGCCCCGCCCGCCGCGGCGCCTGCCGCCGGCCTCGCGGGCGCGGCCGCGGCGGGCGCCGCCTGGCGGGAGAGGCTCGCGCTGGGCGCGGCGGTCGCCGCCGGCACCGTGCCCGTCGTGACGGTGCGGTTCATGGCGATGAGGACCGTGGTGTTCTCTGCGGTGCCGTTGCGCCCTGCGGGGCCCGGCGCTGCCGCGGCACCGCTGGCGGCGCCGCGCGGCGCCGTCGCGGCCGCCCTGGCGGTCGCATGCTTCGCGCCAGGTGGCGCGCTGCCGGCCGTGGCGCCTGCCGGCGCTGGCTCGGGGGCCGCGCCCGTCGGGGCCGTGGGCTTGGCCACCGCCTGGGCCGTCGCGCTGGAGTTCCTCGCCGTCCGCTGCTGCACCGCGGCGGAGGCGGCATCGCTCCGCGCCAGCTCACGCTTCGCCTTCGACCTGAGGCTGCCCGGGGCGGGCTGCTCGGCCGCCAACGGCTTGGCGGCACGGGCCACCTCCTGCGCAGCAGGCGCCGCCGCGGCGGCCGCCGTGGGGCTCGCGGCCTGCCTGTGCGGGCTGCGCAGTGCGGACCTCACCTCGGTCACGCTGGCGTGCGCGTGGCCCAGAGCGGACCGCATGTCGGCGGCCGCTGCCGCGGACCCCTCCGAGCTCTTCGCCGCGAATGCCGCGGCGAGCTCCGGCAGGCGGTCGAAGGGAACCACCAGCACCGACTTGGAGTAGGGGTCGGACGCGGCCTGAGGGCAGCTAAAGCCGTACGGACATCGCGATTCGACCTCCCCCCTCTGAAGGGGCCCAGGGACACCCAGAGAAGTAGACGCCACTCCCCAGGATCCTCCATGTTCTCCCACCTTTTCTGGACCCTCGCCCCAGAGATCTGCCGTCGTGATCTTTTCGATGCGCGGTCCCCGCAAGTCTCCACCCATTCCCCGTGGACCAGGGCCAGGCGCGGGCCGCTATAGAGGTCGAGGTCGGGCGAGAAACCTATCCGTCCTGCTCTTTTTCGAGGCCTTGGATCTCCGGAGTCCTCCCCTCCGCTTCCCAGGTTTTCCTGGGGATCGGCGACTGCTCGTGTCTGCGTGTCTCTGTCTGTTGCCCCTCCAGCTCCCTCTCCTAGTCGCCCCCCCTCCCTCTGCTCCCCCCCCCCCCCCCCCCCCCCCACACGGGGAGGGCGAGTGGCAAAAGGCTATAAGGCTAAGTCGGGCCTGTCCCCCTACAGGGGGATCTTAGACGAAGAACTAAAACCCCCAAAATACTCCCAAATGGTCAAAAAAACAACCGTCCGTATTATACTTATTTGTTGACTATTTTTGAATATTCCCCCCTGTAGAGGGACGGGCCCGATTTAAGGCTGAGGGCTGCGCACGGACAGCCCCCGCGGAGGTGGTCCAGGCTGCAAGCGGTCGACGCTCTGTCCGTGCCCCTCTCAGGCGCCTCGTGGGGCGGAGTGGGGATATTGAAGTAGCGCCTGTCCTCCCACAGGGGGAGATGTTGGACGAACCACAAAAAAGATAGTCAACACATACCCCGAGATAGTCAAAATACCTCTTAGGGGCCTCTTGGGGCGGATCGGGGACGCACAGAAACATACGAATACTACCTATACGACCTATACGCCCTATACAGACTACACGTCGGTCGGAAGAAGTAGGTAGAAACATGAAGTAGGAAGGCGGATCTAGTAGATTGGGTCCAGGCCCCCCCAGGGAACAACAAAACACAGCAAAAGCGTGCCGATTCTTGAAATAGAAAGGCGCTTGAAGTAGATTGGGATCTAGGAATCCAAAAATACCTACTTTCAACGACCGGCGTGTACGACCACCCTGCGGGTGATAAGGAGGTTAGGGGGGAGGGGGGCCAGCAATGGGCAACAGTGGTGATTGTTGCGTTGCCGCTCGCTCTTGGGAGCCTTGGTATCGAGTTGTCTACGTCTTCATTCGCTCTTGGGCGCCTTGGAATCATTCTCCCCCCGGGAACCAACAGATTGGGGACGCACAGAGACATACTAATACTATATTTTTAAGTCGGGTCTGTTTTCCTACAGGGGGATATTGGACGAAACATAAAAGATAGTCAAACAATACCCCGAAATAGTCAAAAAATAAAAATCAAAAATCGTCCCCAGATTATTGTTTGACTATGTTTGAACATTCATCCTGTAGAGGGACAGGCCCGACGTAATAGTACATGTCTTTCTCGGAGGCGCGCGTCCGACCCGAACATATAATGTACCCGTCTTGTAGTATATCGTTTCCTGGGCGGTACGGCCAGCAAGCGCCCGCCACGTCGCATATACCACAAGATTTCTCGGCGCGCGTGCGTCGCCCCTGGGTGGGGGCGACGCACACGTAGCACTAGCATGTTGGGGTGCCGCCGATGATTGGGAGTCTCTTTGGGGGCCGCTTGGGGGCCTCTCGGGGGGCCTCTCCTGGGGCGGAACAACCACCCCCGCAGAGGTGGTCCGGGCTGCAAGCGATCGGCACCTGATCTGTGCCCCTCGCATGGGCCTCTTGGGGCTTACGTTTTGGGGGGCCCCCTTCGGGCCGGGCGAAAGGGGGGATAGCAAAAGGGGGGTTTGAGAATCAGCTCACGCAGCCGGGAGGCGCCCATGCATCTAGGAATGGGCACGGCGGCGGGGCCGAAGCCAGCTGCATGCAGCAGATTTCGACCCCCCCTTTCCCCATCCCCCCCTATAAAAAAGATCCGATGTCGTGATGCAAGGTCGCCCGTGGCGAGAAAAAACTGCAACGCCAGGATCTCAGGGTTGGCCGCCGCGATGGCCTCCTGCTCGCTCTGCGCGGCCGCCGGCGCCACGGCCTGCGCGGCGGCCGGGGCCGCGGGCTGCGCGGCGGGCGCGGGCTCCACGAGCAGCCTGTCTGCTGCCTCGGCGGGCGCCCCGGCCTTCTTCGACGCCGCGGCCAGGCTGGACACGACCGTGGCCGGGACCGGAGCGGTGATGATGGGGCCCTGGGCCGCGGGGAGCTGCGGCGCGCGGGCGGGCGTGGGCACCGCGGGCCCGCTCCGGTTGCTGCCCTGCGGCTGGGGCCGCACGATGATCGGCCCGCCCGCGGTGGACGCGTTGGCGGCCGCACCTGGAGGGGCCCTGGGGCACACAAATAACTACACACAAATAACGGGATGCCCCCTATTTTCCCACGTATTCTGGGTTCTTGTCTTCCCCCCCCCGTCCCATAGTTTCCCATATTTTCGGGGGAATCGACGATTATACTTGTGTCTCTGTTTCTTTCCCTCCTGAGCACCGCCGCAGGCGAGCGTGGCATTGTGGCAGGCGCTGGAGTTCGCGGTCAGGTTCGCAAAGGAAGCGTTTTGGCGGCCTTCGGCCTGCAGCGGGCCAGCTCCGGCGGCTGTCGGCTCCCTCGAGGTGATGTTGGCCTGCCAGTCCTCGGCGGCGGCCAAGAGAGGGGCGTCCGAGGGGGGGGGGGGGGGGGGGGGGCAAATCATTGCCAGCCGCATGTGCGCGGCCCAGGGGGGGGGGGCTGGGCACATCTCGACATGAGGCGCCATGAAATCAGGGGAGATATCATGGCCCCCGCCATGATATCGACCCCGCCCTAGTCATCACCCCCCTCCTGGCCGCTCGCGGAGTCCTCCACCTCCATCATGTAGCACGTCCTCATGGTGTCCAGCTCCTGCGACATCACGGCGTGGAGCAGCATGAACTGGAACTTGTCGCAGTAGCGCGTCTTGTCGCCCTCCTTCCCCTCCGCGCGCCGGCAGGCGCCGTGCGCCAGGTCCGAGACGGACTGCGACAGCAGCAGGTTGTCCATGGTCTCCGAGCAAAAGTGGGCGCTGACGATGCCGGAGCAGAAGTGCTTGCGGTCGAAGTTCGGGTGGCGGATCGCGAGGGCCAGGGCCTGCTCCCGCACTGCTCCCGGCAGTGCAAAGATGGGGCCACAGATAACCATGATCCATGGCTCCTCTGGGCCCACGGGCCGCCCCACACCCCCGATGGGATGGGTCTCAGGGTCCCTCGGGACGCCCCCCCCAGATGGGATGGAGGGGGGGGGGACGACGACGACGACGACGACGACGACGACGACGACGACGACGACGAAGACAGGCATGTCCGCCGATGAATGTGCCGATGCCGATGCCGATGCCGACGCTGACGTCGTCGTCGTCCTCGTCCTCGTCCTCGTCCTCGTCGTCGTCGTCCCCCTCCGCCTCCTCCTCCTCCTCCTCCTCCGAGGAGGATGGTGCGCCCTGGGGTTGTGGTCCGGTGGGTCCGGACCGGACCCACCGGACCCACCAGACCGTCCGGTGGTTCGGTGGGTCCGGTGGGTCCGGTGGGTCCGGTGGGTCCGGTGGGTCCGGTGGGTCCGGGGGGTCCAGAGTGTCCGGTGGGTCCGGTGGGTCCGGTGGGTCCTGTGGGTCCGGTGGGTCCGGTGACTCCAGTGGGTCCTGTGGGTCCGGTGGGTCCAGTGGGTCCGGTGCGTCCCGTGGGTCCGGTGAGTCCGGTGGGTCTGGTGGGTCCTGTGGGTCCGGTGGGTCCGGAGGGTCCGTCCGGTGCGTGTGGTGGGCTTTGTAGGTCCTCCTCATCGTCGTCATCCTCACCATCCTCCTCGCCATCATCAGCATCGTCAGCATCATCCAAATCACCGTCCTCATCTTCATCCTCCTCATCCTAGTCCTCTTCATCCTCATCGTCCTCCGCATCGTCATCCTCGTCATCCTCATCCTCATCGTACTCTTCATCCTCATTGTCCTCCACATCGTCCTCACCCTTATCCTCATTTCTACCACCAGCATCCTCCTCCCCGCGCTGTCCTCCTCCTCATCCTTCCTGGAGGCCTCCCGCATGGGGCCGCCCGAGGAGGAGGAAGAGCAGCAGAAGGAAGAGTCCGAGGAGGAAGAGGAGGAGGGCAATTACCCCAGTGCGACCCTACCTAGAAGTTGAAGCCCCTAGGAAAGCAGCATTAGTTGCTATGCTATGCTCTGCTCTGCTATGCTATGCTATGCCATGCTATGCCATGTTATGCTGCGCTATGCTATGCTATGCTATGCTATGCCTTGCTGTGCTATGCTGCGCTATGCTATGCTATGCTATGCTATGCTATGCTAAGCTGCGCTATGCTATGCTATGCTATGCTATGCTGTGCTATGCTATGCTAAGATGAACCTGAGCTAAGATGAAGTTAAGCTAGACTAAGATGGAAACAGCTAAGCTAAGATGATATAAGCAACGCTAAGCTAAGGGAACGTCACTGGGGGAACCGCGGGGCGGATCCTGGGGGAACCGCCCGGGGCGGGGAGCACTGCCCGGCCCCTTTAAGCATACAGGGTAAGAACTAATGTAGGCAGAGCCTCGGTAGGGAAATGAGAAAAGATGCAGCAGCAGCAACAGCAGCATGGGTATAGGGCGCAGAGAAGTGTGGGTGGTCTGCGATGTGGTGTGACAAGCCAGTAGGAAAAGAGAGAAAAAAAAGAGGGAAGTAGGAGAGAGGGGGGAGGGGGGGGGGGGGGAGGGGGAGAAAGAGAGAGGGGGGAGAGTGGGGAGGGGGGGAGGGAGGGGGGGGAGGGAGGGGGGGGGATCGGGGGGGGGTGGGGGGGGGAGGGAGGGGGGGGGGGTGGGGGGGGGGGGGGGGGAGGGGGAAAGAGGGAGGGGGGGGGGGGGGCACGCCCATTGTGACCACGAACGCGTGCACGGATTCGGAGGGCGTGGAAAATAACAATGGGGTCCATGGCAACGCCTCGCTGAGCGGGCGGGCCCTAACGGGCGGGTCGGGTCGGGCGGGCGGGACATTAAAATACAATGCATCGTCGACTAAACACGCGCGTACCCTAACTGGCTGGCCGGGTGGGGGCGGGTCGGGCGAACCCTAACGGGCGGGTCGGGTCGGGCAGGCGGGCGGGCCCAACGGGTGGGTCGGGACGGGCGGGCGGGACATTAACGTATTATGCATCATCGAGTTGGCACGCGCGTACCCTAACGGGCGGGTCGGGTCGAGTCGGGCGGGACATGGAAAAGTATGATGTATCATCGAGTTGGCACGCTCGTACCCTAAAGGGCGGGTCGGGTCGGGGCGGGCGGGCGGACCCGGGACATTAAAATAACATAGCACCCCGCCATTGCGGGTAAGAGTGAGGGGGCGGGCGCGGGCGACGCGGACGTCGTCGAGCCGGCGGACCTCGTGGCCCCCACCTTCCCTGTCGATGGCGCTCTCCTCCTTCTCCTCCTCCTCCTCCTCGTCCTCCTCCTCCTCCTCGTCCTCGTCCTCGTCGTCATCGTCATCGTCATCCTCCTCCTCCACCTCGTCCTCCTCCTCCTCTTCTTCCTCGTCCTCCCTCTCCCCCCCTCGTCCTTCCATCATCGTCCTCCCATTGTCGTCCACCCCCTCATCGGCCTCCATCATCGTCCTCCCATTGTCGTCCATCATCATCGTCATCATCATCATCATCCCCCTCCTCCCCCTCCTCGTCCTCCTCCTCCCCCTCCTCCCCCTCCTCGTCCTCCTGCTGCTCCTCCTCTTTCTCCACATTATCCTTACATCCTCTCTTCTTTCGCGTCCTCCTCGTCCCCTGTTTACTCCTCCTGCCTCCCCCTTCTTTCCCAAGATAACGGCAACGCAATCCTTTTTCCACTTTATGCTCCCCGACTTCTCTGATCAAGGCAACTCGCCAGGGCAAAGTTGCTGGACGGGCTGGTGTGGATGCGCGGGGCTTGAAGAGGTCCTTGCGGGCTCAGACGGCATGCAAAAATCCGCCGCCGCGCTTGTGCGGCATTGGTTTGTTCAATGAACGTGGTTTGGGTCGCGGGTGGGTCGCGGGTTCTCCACCTCCACCTGGAAGGAATGCAAAAGCAGCCCGCCGCAGGCGCCGAAAAATTTGGTTTGTACACTGAACGTGGTTTGGGTCGCTGGTGGGCCGCGGGTTCTCCACCAGGAACGAATGCACAAGATGCCCGCCGCAGGCGCCGAAAAATTTGGTTTGTACCCTGAACGTGGTCGCGGGTGGGCCGCGGGCTCTCCACCTGAAACGAATGCAAAAGATGCCCGCCGCAGGCGCCGAAAAATGTGGTTTGTACCCTGAACGTGGTTTGGGTCGCGGGTTGGTCGCGAGTTGGTCGCGGGGTGGGTCGCGGGCTCTCCAGTTGGAAGGAATGCAAAAAAAGCCCGCCGCTGGCGCCGAAAATGGTGGTTTGTACCTTGAACGTGGTTTGGGTCGAAGGTGGATCGCGGGTGGGTCGCGGGATGGGTCGCGGGTGGGTCGCGGGTGGGTCGCGGGTGGGTCGCGGGTGGGTCGCGGGTGGGTCGCGGATGGGTCGCGGGGTGGGCCGCGGGTGGGTCGCGGGGTGGGTCGCGGGTGGGTCGCGGGTGGGTCGCGGGTGGGTCGCGGGGTGGGTCGTGGGGTGGGTCGCATGGTGGGTCGCGGGTGGGTCGCGGGTGGGTCGCGGGTGGGTCGCGGGGTGGGTCGCGGGGTGGGTCGCGGGGTGGGTCGCGGGTGGGTCGCGGGTGGGTCGCGCGTGGGTCGCGGGGTGGGTCGCGGGGTGGGTCGCGGGGCGGGTTGCGGGTGGGACGACGACAACAAACAACAACAACAAACAACAACAAACAACAACAACGAGAATCCGCACCGCGAAATCCCACTTCAGCCACGCACCCAGGGACAGTGAATTACCGTTCGCCCCCCTCACTTGACAATTTCTGCATCGTCGACTAAACACGCGCGTACACGTACCTGGCGGGCCGGGTCGGGGCGGGTCGGGCGGACCTTAACGGGCGGGTCGGGTCGGGCGGGCGGGCGGACCCAACGGGTGGGTCGGGACGGGCGGGCGGGACATTAACGTATTATGCGTCATCGAGTTGGCACGCGCGTGCCCTAACGGGCGGGTCGGGTCGGGTCGGGTCGGCCGGACCCTGACGGGCGGGTCGGGCGGGCGTACCCTAACGGGCGGGTCGGATCGGGCGGGTCGGGTCGGGCGGGCGAAACGGGCGGGTCGGGTCGGGCGGGCGGAACATTAAAGCGTGATGCATCATCGGGTTGGCACGCGCGCACCCTACCGGGCGGGTCGGGTCGGGTCGCCCGGACCCCAACGGGCGGGTCGAGTCGGGCGGGTCGGGCGCGGCGGACTCTAACGGGCGGGTCGGGTCGGGCAGGCGGGACATTAAAGTATGATGCATCATCGAATTGCCACGCGCGTGCCCGAACGGGCGGGTCGGGTCGGGTCGGGTCGGCCGGACCCTGACGGGCGGGTCGGGTCGGGCGGGTCGGGTCGGGCGGGCGGCGCCACCGACGACGACGACGGCGGCGGCAACGACGACAGCGCCCGATTCGGCCGACGATGGGTTACCACCGCCGGCCCGGACACAAGGGGCTACTCCTGCGCCCGATTCGGCCGCCGATGGGTTACCACTGGCGGCCTGGAGACAAGGGGTTACCCCTGCCCCCGATTCGGCCGAGGATGGGTTACCACCCCAGGCCAGGACACAAGGGGTTATACCCCTGCGCCCGGCCGCCGTCTCGTCGTCATCGTAAGAACTCTTCCTGCTCATCTGATGGGTGGAGCAAGTGGCCATCTCAAGAGCACAAAACTGGCCGCGCTCGGATTGGCCCGCGAGGGCTCACACCACCTTTCGTTCCTCAGGAGCCCAACTGTCACGATATCCCAAAAACTGGCTCGCACTCGAAGCTAGAGTTGCGGGCCCCATAGGAAGGGGGCTGGGGCTCCCGCTTGAGACTTCCTCGCACTGCACTCACAGACGAAGCTCCCGCCTGAGACGTCCTCCATACTCAAGCTGGATGAGGCCAAACGTGACGACAGGTACAAGATTCCGATGACCCGCTCGGATTAATAACATGAGCTGCGGGCCCCATAGGGAGTGGGCTCCCGCCTGAAGCTTCCTCGCGATTTACTCAAAGACGAGGCTCCCGCCCGACCCGACCCGCCCGTTTCGCCCGCCCGACCCGACCCGCCCGATCCGACCCGCCCATTAGGGTACGCCCGCCCGACCCGCCCGTCAGGGTCCGGCC